CAACGCCGCAGTCTGCGGACTATTTTCTCCCCTGGACCCTGACCAACTTTTTGCGGGACCTTACATGCCCCGAATTCACCCTGCCACGTCGCGGGAGAAGTCTTTACCCCTTTGGGAGACTTGAGCACCTTCTGTTCAAAAATACAGATGCCTCACATGGTTCAAACTTGTTGTTGACTCACCGCTTCACAGTACTTGACCTTTACAGCTGAATATTTCACCGGCAATCGAATGCCCATAGAGTAGCATATTAACAATTAATGTCTCACTTATTATTTCCTCAGCCAAGAAGCCGACGCGAATGCGTGTGCGTAGTTTCTTCTCGCCCGGCTTGCTGTCGGTTGCCGCGTAGGGACAGTTACCGTACTCCATATCACAGTAAGTCGACAGAGCGCAATAAGTCGAAATGCGATTATGTAAATCTACTGAGTTTTGAATCCAAAGATTTGGTTGCTTATATGTGGTATCAGAGATTGGAAGAAGCTTCAATTCATTAGGGGACTCGGCCAACCGGCGCTAGTCCATAAACAGTCAGATGTCTCGGCCATCTTTCTGTCCCTCTATGTTTCACTCTCCCTCTGTCGACCACAGGACAAGGGAACTGCAGTCTTGTCATAAAGATGGTCGCCACCTTGTTCTGGAACACTGTGCCATTGGGACGCTCTCCGTTCACTTGGATCAATACGCCCAGGGCACTAGGGCGCAAGAACCATTGGCTTCCCACCTGCTACACAATCATGCCCACCATCACCTTCAAAAAAAAAAAAACCTCAAAAAAACAAAGTAAAAATATGCTGCCCTGAGTGGCAAGATCGTCTCGACATGTGCAAGGGTGCACTGTAATATGCTATAGAGCAACTTCCCTGGGATTGGATGCCTCAAACTGGTTCAACAGTACTGGACTCACCTCCGTATGGTAAATGGCCATGACAGCCGTTAACGGCAATCTAGAAACTTGAGATAATTTTAATACGATTAATGCATCAGTTATATATATATTGATCATAGAGGGGAAGAGTGAAACGGCCCATAGAACAGGCCCAAGGTATTGGGACTGTAGAAGCTCCTTCGGTTGGGTACAGAACTAGACCTTGGTCAAAAGGGCCACGTAAGCACTTTGAAGTGCATCTCTATAGACATCCACAATTTTCTCTGTGATTCTTCTGTGAAGGTTGGGTTAATTACAGTTGGATGCTTAACAAAATTTAGGTAATAATAATAATAACGGAGACATTAATCATTAGGATGCTACTCTATGGGCATTCGATTGCCGTTGAATTATTTGGCTGTAAAGGTCAAGTACTGTGGAGCGGTGAGTCAACAACAAGTTTGAACCATGGGAGGCATCTGTACCTATACAGAAGTTGCTCAAGTCATGTTGTTAAGAATGACTTCTCCCGCGACAAGGCGGGGTGAATTCGGGGCGCTTAGTGTCCCACGAACGTTGGGAAGCGTTCAGGAGGGGGGAGCAGAGAAGATAGTCCGTAGGCTACGGCGTTGAGCCCGCAGAGAGCGACGATAGTCCTTGCGCTCCTGTCAAAGTAGCTTCAGCCATTCTTCCTTGTCCACCAGTGACTTACGGAGGACGCTGTGACGGCATGTCAGCATGCGTCTAATATCCGGAGGTAAATCAGCTGAACCCATATCAAACTGAGAGTGAATCCCCTCGTTGACAACGCAGTGACGTTCACGGAGCTGAACATTGTCATCCGAATGGCGAACGGCGTTCTGTTGTTCCCACATATAGAACCCAATGGAGATGAGTTGCTGGGAGAGACGGGAGGCCCACAGAGAAACCGACTGACAACTGTGAATCTTGTCAAAATAATTTTGTTGCAGAGACAGCCACAAGGAGGCTAGTCTGCCTTCCAAAAGTCCCTGACACCCAATAGCTTCCTGTGCCAGAAAGGCCGGGCGAATGGTCCGAGAGACCAAACAAGGGGGACGTGATGAATCGCGAACACCCTGAAGCAGAAGGAGTATTGCATCCATCCAGAGCGAGAGAGCGGTCACCCTCCGATCCCATTCGTCCCTAGCCGGGGCTGCTGGGCAACGGGGAACATGCAAGTGATCTTCAAACTCGCCGCACCGCGGGCACGCAGCGGAGGATGCTAGGCCCCAATACACTTTGAACTTCCCCGTGCCGCACATGCCCACCCAATGTTTTGTAATCCAGCGCTGGAGTCCGGCAGGTAACGACCGCATAGCGCGGCCCAGTGTCTCCCAGTCAATAAGGTTTTCAGACTCCTCAGAGATCACATTACGGTTCCTCCATTGTTGCCGCAGGCGGGGGAGTGTCACGCACTCCTGAATGAAGTGGTCACTCAGCCGAGACTGCTTTGTGTCAGCCACAAAAAGAGCTGCCAGTTCCGTGAAGAACCGAGGGTTGGGGGGGATAAGTTGGTGGGCCGCCTCTAGTTCCTTGCGGAAATCCACTGCCATGCCATCCACCTCCAGGTTTTTCTTTTCCCACCAAGTGAGTTCATCAAATAAGTTGGACTTGTCCAAATGTCCGTAGACATGCCGTGGAGACCAAGACACCGGAGACCGAGAGATGGCTTCCCGGATGGAAGAGATCAGGTCAAATTGTGCATCAGTGGGTGAAAGGGGTCGATCTTCAAAGGCCATTTCAATGGCCGAAAGGCCGTCGCAGGCGATCTTGACACCCGGCCGCTGGCTAAGGGCTGGGAACCATTGTTGGAGGAGCCAGTCGACCGCCATAATCCCGGCCAGAAGGCCAATCAGCTCGCTACGATAGGCACTCTGATCCTGAGGTAGGCCTGGAGTTTGACAACGGATGACAATGCGAGCAGTTCCCCCTTTGGGAAGGAGCTGGACAGCAGCAGATCCCAGGTCATTTTTGTATGACCCATCGCTGATGATTCTGAGGCGGCCCTGGATTAGGGCATCGGCCAAGGCAGCCTCATCACCATGTACCTCAATCTCATCAGGGACCCACCCATAGTAGTCTGTGCAGAGGTCGGCAGAGGCTTGCCAGGCGTTGAGGATGGAGGGGGTAAATGCGGAGGAAGGCAAGGTTGGGAGACCTGTGCCAGTGAGGAGCACCCAGTCGCTACCGGAGAGGGGCCTCACTGTGGCACACAGGACGTCAGAAGGCAAAGGGCAAGTCCACCAAGACCTTGGTCGTCGTAGGCTAGCCGTACCACTGTGACTGCCAGATGGAGCATATCGCCAAGAAGTTGTAGAGGAACCTACAAGGGCGAGATGGGTCCATGCAGCCCCCTCCCGATGAAACAAACCAACAGTCGGCGACCAGAACCAGTTCCAAGACTCAAAGTTGTCGTGCCAATGTCCCAGGGGTTGGAGCAGAGGGTGGTGCTGACCGTGTGAAGGCAAGAGCGCGCGGGACAGTGTTCTTTGCCAGAGTTCCCAATATGGACGCCCAGGTCGTACCGTTCGAGGCCAGTTATATGGAGTCCAATAAGTATCGTCGCGGAAACCGTTCCAGATGCATTGCCGGATATAGCGGCCATCAGCCGTGGTGATATCTGATACTGTGGCAACTTGCAGGAACATCCGGCACCAGTTAAGCCAGAGAAGGTCGTCCTGATCAACCTCAAGAT